CGAAGATTACCGACCACCAAGAGTTCACTCAGATGTGACAACACAAGACAAAACAAAACAAATAACGTTGGTATCACTTCAAATCTCGTACGGTACATTTTTGGACCACTTCCCCAAATATGATACGACAGAGAAACAGCTGAGATGAACGGGAGCTAGAGACTGGATGAAATACCAAGGCATAATAGTAATTGATATGATACAAATAGTGAATGTGAACAGAATAATACTTACATAACAATGATTACCAATTCTGGATCAGATAGCACTTACCCTTTCTAGGAGGCTTCTTGTTTATAACAAACATATTGGACGGATTTGATTTAAAGGACTAATTTCTTATAGAAGAGTATATAATAATACATAAAAATATTGAGGTAAGTATTGTGTAATGATGAATTACTTATGAATGAATCTACAATTTAAATAAAAAAATAACACTTGCTAATCAGGACTAATTGCTTTTATTCAAACAGTTTTTGTAGAAATTGGGTATCGCAAAATCCTATACTTCAGTTTTTTCCCCAACCAGTTGCAGTTCTATGGATTTTGCCCATAACAGCCAGTAAGACGGTAAACGAAATACTTGTTAATTCATGAGAACTAACAGGCATTTCGTTTACCCTCTTATCGGTAGTTGCCGTTTAAAATTTACAACACCTTCGAACTGTTAAATAACGAACCATCTGTTTAAGGTCACATATGTGAGAGGGGCTCAATGGTGATAAACATCAGCTTATCTATTTAGAATGTGTTTTCGCCATGATATGCTCTTGCGAACGTCCGGCCAAGAATAATTGGAGATTCGTCAAAGAGAAGATGAGCCCCCAAGGAAAAGAATATTATAGAGGTGATGAATACTGCAGAAGTGCATGTAATTGGATTTTGAGGTTGAGAACTTGTATCAAGTTTCATCGCTCCATTCTTGTTATTTGTTGAGAACAAGCCTTGCATGCTCTTGGATCTCTTACTGGTATTAAACCATTAACAGAGATGGCAGTGATTATCACAATTCACAGGGACCCCGTTTTCTAACTGGTACCTGGTGAATAACCTGTCACCTAGGTCGACGCGGAATGATCCTGAGGAAATTAAGACAACTAAAGCTGTCTCCTGAGACGCATTAGGTGCGAAGAATGCCGAGTCTCCAGATGGTATCGCATGCTTTTTTATATCAAAGAAAATTGGTACCAGCTGTTGACGTAGCAGGAAGGATGTGGAGATATGTGACAAGGGTGACTACGTGGTCCATGGTTGAACTGTGCTTCCACAAACTATATTGAATGTGTCAATAGATTTCTTTGTCACAGGACCCACACCAGACGTATACACGATTCGCTCTAAAAGGCTGCAAAGCTTGCGAGCGAGATTGGGCGGTAACTTGTCGGGTCTGTTCTGATCTTTCCTTCGGTAGGGTTTGAGATATCAATGGCGGCACGCTAAATCCCAGGTATGCCATGTTCCACCCAAAACCGGTTGAAGATGCGGAGGAGGAGGATGAAAGAACACGCCTTTTCCGGTAGATGTTTCAACATTGATTATGCATGTGGTTAGGTCCTAGAGAAGAATCTTTCGCATGAGCGATAGCAGAGGAAAATTTATCCATAGAAAATGGAATCTACCTCCAGTCGACTCGAAAAATCCAATCTGCACTTCTCCATTCTTATGGTGTTCAGAATATTAGCAGGGTAGTGTATGGGTCTCAGGATTTGTTCATAGTGAGAGGCCAATTCTTCAACTCTGTCTTCTGGTAAGGTGATATTTCCATTTACCACAAGCCCTGAGACGGACAGTAGAAAGACTTCAATCTGTCCCAATTTTCACCACAACTTTAGGAGAGAAATGGCAAGAAAAATAGCAAGAAGATATACATGCGCTCCAGAAAACATACTTGCTTTGTCCTATGACAAATTAGCTTTGGCTCAGGGTCTACTAAAAATGATCAGGTTTTTAGTGGTTGGAAAACTACTGAGATTTGGCAGTGCCCTCTGTAGATCACGCACTGCGGTGGCACAGTGTGCATTCCCCCATGGCACAAGAGGATCTCGTGGGCGACCCAACGACTTCCGAATGAGAACAGAGGCCGCATGAAAAACGCTATCCGTAAAATGAGCAGCCATAGCATCGATATCGTTGGTAATATTTTCCGATATCCGTATTTCTTTCCCGAATGTTTTCCATTCAGCTCGATAGATTAGCCAGCGAGGAAGGTTGTGTTTACGTCGGGAATATCGAAATGAACCACAGCGGGGAATTGGCCACCTCCATGCAAGTCATCAAGGACATGTCACTCAAAGATGAAAGAGAGAGGTGAACTACAGACGAGATCTAAGGACTAGAAAGTGTTTGAGGCAACGGAAAAATGTGCCCGTTCGCCAGTATTCCGAAGCATTAGGTTCAATCTCTATTCTTCTGAATGTACACGTAACCGTTTAAGTTGTATGAGAGAGTATGGTGAAGAATTACTTCTTTAATTCATTTTACTTTCTCACCTTGTGAAAAGTGGTAGAGGAAATTCTGCGGCCCTCCTCATCTACGGCAGTCTTCCTGACCGCAGCTCGGTCGCCTTTGTCGAATGTCTCAAAGAAGATCTAGAGGGCGGGAAGTTCGCTCAAAGCGAGTCTCGGACGTAGGAAGAACTGGTCATTACTTCGAGGACGAACGTTTGAAAGCGATACCAGAGTTGCATCCACTTCCATTGAGGCCTCAGTAGCAGAGGTTCCTGGCAACATCGATTTTTCGTAATTTTTTTTACTCGATTTCTTGGCTTTGGTGGGTTCTATTGCATTCGCGCATTGCAGGCACGATGTATCTTCAGCGAGGTCTGTAGGAGACACCTGTCAATTAAGGTACGCCACCACGGCGGAAGCACGTTGTGTTTGAGAACTCACTACTACCCTGAGTACTTAGTCTTTAGGGGATTGGAGATAAACGCGACAGGTCTACTGGGTTCGTTGCCTGGTAGCGACGTTTGTCCTGAGGGAAGGAAACCTCGGTGACTGTTCTTCTGAATCACCCTCTCCCTGAGAAGGTTAGGCACTGGTTGGAGCTGGCCTGATGGTCACCTTCTTAGTTGGCACAGTGCGGTGGCGTAGCGCAAAGTTCTGAATCGTGCATTGATGTACCGCACTTTCCGCACTCTGGGCTCTCTGACATGCATTGTTTTGTGTTCTCCGGAAAGAAGTGGCCTCACAGAGATCACTCACTCACAGAGATTGAGTGTTGGATTCGTAGTCACTTACTCCTGAAGCCCGGAAATCTACTTGGTTTTCTGGATTTTGCCAATTTGCTATCGGTGTGTGCTTCAAATAAAATTATACTATTTTTTTGTCGCACCATCGCTGGGAGTTTCCCGAATGCATTCTCTATGGCTCGCCACAAGAGCCAGATCGACAACACATTTTTAATCGTATTTCCTTACTCGACGCATGTCATTGGCAGGAAACGAGGTTTTTTCTTTTGTCATCTTCGGTGAAAAAAAAACGGTTCAGGTCAACAGTTCTTTCTGGTCATGTCCTGTACCGTGCGGAAGAAGGTGGCGGAAGTAATTTTGATTCGACATGAGGGACCGTGATTCGTCTCATGCTCCCCCACCCCCCGACCATGGAGACCAACAAGGGGACTCCCCACTGAGATGGTAGACTTGACTCTGTGATATAGTGGGGGGAAGTCAACTTTCTCACCGCTTACCCAGCGCCGTCCCGCCGTGGATCACCCCACCCAATCACCCTGAAATTCAGGACAAGCCGTAGTCCAAGCCGATTGATTAGATGGTATTAGCCTCTTGACTGCCCGTCTAGAAATGGCCGGAGCCAAAGTAAGAGTATTGGAGCATGTATTGCAGACCCCTCCGTCAGTTACTAGGACTCGCCGTGGTTTGCAAAGTGAACGTAGCTATACTGAATCTACCTATCTGAAGTATCCAGCGTCCAAGTGGCATTCCAGTAAGTATGCACAGACCTCTCAACTTCCACGTCACCCATGCCCTCCGACACGTGTCGCCATGCACGGCAAACGCATAGGTGGGCGTTTAGCATACAGAGAAGGCCAGTAGCGAAGAAAAAAGGGTGATAATCAAAGTAAACGTGAGATATGAATTGAAGAAGTGAATGGAAGATCGGTAAGGAACATATGAGATCCTTCTCTGCATTTGCCTGTTAGGTCGTGGATCAACCCATTTCGACAGGACCATCGTTCAAGAGAAACAGGTCTTGCTAATAAATAAAGGTGAATATCCAAGCAAATGCCGTAGTATATACGAAAGGGATTGAAAAATTAACACAAGCTCGTGATTTCAATAAGCGGTAAATAATCTAAAACCAAAGACCATTATTGTCGGAGTAATAACTAGACAGTAGAGGCCATACCCAGAGACGAAACATCTGAGCACATGGTCTTAAAGCCAGACACGCATGCCAACTACGAAAAACCACAGTATACCCCAGCTCATATCCAGAGTAGGTACCTTTTAAAAATCCAATGTGCTTGGATAGGACTCGAATAACAAGATGTCTCAACCGGCCCTAAACCGTGAAGAACGGTGGGTGTAGTGGTATAATAAAAACTGCAACCGTCATTCGCCAACTTGAAGGCTGTGGATGCTTTTCTGGTGTATCGCTAAAACTTATTTTACTTTTAAATGCATAAGCCAAATAAACCACTTTCTACCAACTACTTATGTCAGATGAAACGAAAAACTCGCTGCAGAGACACTGCCAATTTAGTTATTTTAGCTAATTACAATTTTTTATAGAAATATTAGATATAAATTAATACTTCTCAATCTGTAACTTGAAATGACTGCACTTGAAATTGTATTTAGGAACATTGGAATGGATGCAGAGAATGAAACTTATTAAAATATTACATGCTGCAACGTCTTAAAATATTAATGCTCTCTCCTCGCACACATTCTCTGATAAGGAGTGAGACACGCCAATTAATAATTAAAATTATTATTTTCAGATGATTTGCATTTATAGAGTAAAATCATTTCTTACCGTCCAAATTTGTTGGCAATCATTCCTCCACAAAAGCCACCGAACATGCCTCCAATGGCAAATATCGATACTGCCAAGGAATATAGCAACTTCACGGTATCGTCAGTCATATCCTCACCATAGCGATGCTTGTACACATCTTTCATAAAATTTTCAATGTTCTGCGAAAAAAAAAACAATATATTATAAACACCAAATTAGAAAGGAGAAAAATACATAAAACTAACAATTACAAACAAACAACGCTGATATTATTCAAAATACACTACAAAAGCTGTAAGTAATTATCTCATTAATAATTCATTACGGGTCGGCCATAAAAATGTGGCCAAAATTGAAAATTTTCTACACAAGTATTTTTGAGCCTCAATAACCATAATTTGTCGTCAACATTTTTGTATCTCAACGTGGAAAATGTAACTGGAGAGCACGCCCACATACCACTAGCAAAGGCACTAAGGATTAGACACGGAAAGGCTGGGTAGAAGTCGACAGCAATTCTGTTACGTAGCCACAGCGACGAAGTATAGAATTTAAAAAATTAAACAAAGAAGGAAAGTCATAAAATACTATATATTTGTTACTTGGTATACGTGGGTGTGTGTATATATATATTTGTTATGTGTGTATATTTGTTACTTGGTATTCTAACACTTCTGATACAGAGGGGCACTTGTGCCATGGGTCACTTTTTATACGCGCATGTTTTCCTACGTTATTGTACCGTAAATTGGTATGACTTTGATATTAAAGAGTTAGTTAATTACGTGAAGTTTTCCCCAACCAAGTATCAGGTACTATCGCGGCACCACCCCAGCCGGGACAATCTCGAAGCTCCCGACCTGTGTGCATGTTAGTGTGTGTGTGTAAGTGGTGAGGACAGGACAAGGAAGAGGAAGTTGAGATCGCGCGCAGTCCGTGGTCCGTTCGTTAGGGTACTGCTCCGGCATCCGCCTGGTATTCAATGGAGAAACTACGGAAAACTACCGATCAGAGCAGCCGGCCGCTACAATTCTCCTCCACACAGCGACTCAATTTGACCTAACTAACAAGCAAGTGTCGAAAATCCTGCCACCGTCGGGACTCTAACCTAGAACCTCCCGGTCAGAAAGACTGCAGTGTCATCAGTTGTTGCCCTGAGCCATCTCTCCCGGTCTTCTTTTGAACTTGAGGTTCTCCTACATGCAGTAAATCTACTACACGTGACCGCCGTATTTTTTCGCCCTTGAAAAATTCACGGCTTCGATCGGGTTTGAACCCGCAAACTGGATACAACAGCCCGAAAAGCTGACCGGTATACCACCGAATTAGGTGACATTGACTTGACACTATGTTTATGTGATGTAGCAGCTACTACTGTTGACTAGATACATTTCTTGTGCAGCAGTTGGGTATTTTGGAGATCTATGAGCGCCAATAGACATATTACTGTTTCATAACATTCATAGCTGAGGCAGTGTTTTGTTTTAAAATTCGTGTATTATATTTTGAAGAAATTCGTGCGGCGGATAATTTCCCAACTGAAACCAAGGCTTATATTTTATTGAATTATCTAACAAGTTCGAAGTAAGTAGGGCTCTTTGATAAAAAAAATGAATAGAAGAATATTCTAACCTAAAATATCCGCGTTTTGTGATCATTTGATGAATGGGGGTGACTTTGTCACAGTCAAGGAGTGATTTTAATTAGCATTTTTTGTCAAATAAATCATGTAATACGGTTATCAAACAACGATCTTTCTATTCCATGATACATTTTTTAACATAAAGCAACAGGCAGTGCACCTTTCAATCCTTCCAAAGTTACGACCAAAGTTCCTAAAGCTCAATTAGACCACAATGTTGAAAATGTTATGCAGTACTCTCTGATTACATATTTGAAGGATAAAATAATTGCTGGCATTGGTGCTAAGACAGTAAGAAAGCGGAAGAGACGTGCCGTTGAACCAGAAAAAGTATTGCAAAAAACAGTGAAACATGCGAGACGGATGATGATGTTTCGCAAAATGGAGAATTGTCGTCAATTTACGAGCTCTCACATAGCAGAGAGAAATACACAAATGTAATATGAGTGTCAACAGCAACTTCACTTAGCCAAAACCAACAAGCACTTAGGCCGGGAGTGTACGTCTTGGTGAAGGCGGTGTCAGGAAAGCAGAAATGCACAACCTATAGATACGTCGGTGTGCCCCGCAAAATACTGAAGAATGGGAATATAGAATAATTGGTTTGAAGAGAGTCATCAGATATTCAAGCTGGTGGAAAAGCATATATTTGACGATGGTTTTGAGGACATTTTGGCGATTGTCTCCGAGGAGAAAGAAAATGACAGAAGAATGACTGACAAATTTAATGGTTCTGCAGATGTGTCAAGGAATTCTAGGTAACATTACTGCCATACAAGATTTATAAAATATTTATGAAGGTAATTCCTTGTTGCCTTTTATTTCAAACGTAGAAATTCACCCATCCCTATCAAAGTTACTCACTATATTTAAGACGAAATAAAAAGAACACTGCAATTTCAAAGAGGGTTCAAAATTAATTGAAGGTTTTGATAATTGTGAATTATTTCATTAAGAATTATCTCCCATTTTTCCGTTCTCGCTACGGCTTACGCAATAGAAAGCTATGTAATGCTGCGAGAAAAAACGGCGAATTTTCTTTAGTTACGTTACCGTTCGTACTGACAGATTAGTTGTAATCGTGGCTGTTATCCACGGCAGTATGAGAATTTGTTTTCCTGCTTTGGTGTTTTGTATGTTTATTTCATTTACCAATTGTTTTATACTGTTGAATAGAGGTATTTAACGAGGATGACTATTAAAGGTTTTAAGCAGTGGATATAAGAGGTAATGGTACATACATTATAGTGTTTGTGGACGGTGCAGCTTCAATAGTATATTACAGGTCAGAGATTTTTGGTGACCTGATGTAGATTCTACTTAAATAACAATGCTTCCTATTGTGATGGTGTGGAAGCATCCAGCACAAAATCTGAGACCAAGATTATGGATTGGATCAAGATTCTTCAACTCATTACTAGTTTGATACATTAAGAACTCGTAATATATTTTAGATCCTATCAGAGCCTTGTATGTTAATATCAGAAGATCTTTTTGTGGGTCCAATTTGTTGGAGAGATATTTAAGAATATTTAATATATTTTATTAATTATTAATATTTTAATAACATTCTAATAATACATAATAATTTAAGAATATTCTTACATTCTTCAATTAGTTTTTGTAGATGATTGATCCACGTTGACTTCGGATCAAAATGGAGTTTCAGTAGTTGAATGTTCTTCACAAAATTAAAAGATAATATTCTGAATTTGAGTTGTCGAGCATCAGTTTCGCTTGATTTTGAAAACGTCATACAATTAGTTTTCTGAAAACGAAATTAAATTCCGTGCTTCGGATCAATCGTATACTTTGTTTGACGCAGCTGGCATAATTTATTTAGTTTTAGCGGGAGATTTGTGCTTCACAAACAAGGGATGTATCATCCACATATTTGCGAGGTATAACTGGAGATCCGATTTTCTTGTCTATATCACTGATTGCGGGAAAAAATTGTTATAAGAATAGATGTTTGTGGAACTATTGTCAAGTTGGTTCTAATGTGACAGTTTGTCATTTACACGTACTTGCCTTTGCTGTGTACTTTCAGTTTTTAATGAATTCCTTCATTCATACATTCCGGTCATCTGAAGAATTTTCAAGATTCGTCGTACTTCGTCCGACGCTTTTTCTACGGCCAAACAACCACTATTACATACTGGTTATTCGTGAATGTTTCATGGATGTGTTTATACTTATTAAATGTGATATGGTGGAAAATCCAAATCGAACACTAAATTGGTCATCATTTATGAGTTTCTAATGATAAAGAAACCACCTGACATGTTTGTTCATTTATTTTTCATAAAGTATACATTTCTGACTTTAGGTTGAAGCTTCAGCTATATTGCAAACCACTCCAAATCGCAGCCAAATGAAAAATTACTCAAGAAAATATAATTTGAGCAATACACTAGTTGAAATCAAATACATCGTATACCAGGTGTTTAATTTACAACTGGTTTTCGGAATATCTCGAAAAGCGCGAATCGGATCAAGAAAAGATGGTAATGACTGGTATTAGTATCGACGGGGCCCATCCAATGGTATCAAAATCGACCCCCCAACTCTATACTCCGGCGTGGGGTTGGGGGTGGGAAAAAATAAAAAAGTTAAATAGGAATCCCCGTTTTCTATTGTAGGTCGGATTCTCGGAAACAAATACGTAAGTTTTGTATTTAACTTTTTCCGTTTCGTGGTAGATGGCACAGTAATCCACAAATTTAAAAAAAATTAGTTCCACCGCAATTACATATCAAATAGAAGAAAGAAAAAATACGTGTTCAATAATTTTCACTAAACTACTCCGTGTAATTTATCTAACGTTGGTTGTTGCCCCAGAATTATCGTGGAAGATTATTTATTTAACAAAAACATTTTATATATCTAACAAAAATATTTAAAATATCTAACAATATTTTCTCGGTGCGATTATGCTCCACTGGCAATTAATGGGTTAATTAGTCAAGAGTACTTTCTCATTGACTGCTATGCTTGCAACGCAAAGTTTTCAGAGCAAAAGGCAGATTTTTTTAAAAAAATATTTTCAGAATAAATTGTTATTAGATGAATGGGCGAAACGTTGGCAAAACTACAAAAAATTCAATAATCATGCACGTATAAAACACCTGTGGAGTGCAAGCGGCATGTTACCGTCGTGTTCGCTCGGCTCTATTCGCCTTCCCAGGCTTCTTCAGAGGCGATGAACGTCAGGACAGTAGTAGAAGCACAGAGCAGGCGCGGATCGGAGGGGGGGATGAGGGAACACCCCTTAAAAATTTTCAGTAAGTATTCATTATAACTTGTGCCGAAACTTTCACGCAAATATTTATCCGGATTATCATTAAACGAATAAAACTGTATCGCAGCATGAGCTGAGTGTAGCCTGCGACGTTTTACAAAACCTATAATATAACACATTCGCCCAAAACATTTTGAATTTCCCCTCCCACAATCCTTCTCTCGATCCGCCCTTGCATAGAGATATCATACGCGCGAATACGTGTGGCTTTTCCTCACAACTACCTCCTTAATAAT